AATTTGTAAGCTTGCGAGCATAGCAGGTCAGACTAGTCACATGCCAGTGAACTAAATAACCAGCGTTCATGCTAAATTGGTATTTCCCAGCTGTCATGACTTCTGTAGCTTTTCAGAATGTCATTTACTGGGGCAGTTTGGTTTATTATACATGTAGTAGAGGGAGTGGAATTTGAATTGCCTATCGTCTGGACACATTTCTGGATTTCATAATAAAATCAAACTTTAAACCAATTTAGCTTATGGGTATATTTATCAAATCAGGTATTTATCATAAATGATGAGGAAGACTCACCCCGTAAGAGTGTACAAAGACTGTTGGGGACATCTTTTTAATTGCCTTTGTTTCTTCTGTCCCTCTGGATTGCTGCTGGGAAAGTGTTTCTCCCAAATGAAGTCTGTTCTTAGTTTTAGCCTGTGTTTTCATGAATAATGTTGAAAGCAGCATTACCTCTGCTAAAATCATGATCACGTACCCAATCTTCGGAGCCAAACCAATTTTTCTGGCTACAAATACTTTTCTTTAGCTAGTGTCCTGTCTGGCTGTGTTAGCCATTTCAGGCTCTTTTCACTAAAGCCAAATGTACATGTATTTTTCCTCCTGCATATGAAGTAATTTTGAATGTAACCTTCAGATTGAAACTCAAAAATGGATCTACAGTTGTTTCTCTCAGTTTTCTTACCTCTTTATGCCTTCCTTCCTCTAAGCTGTCCATGTGAACAGTTACACAGTATCTTGTGACCAAGGTAGTAACTTTCCTGTATAAAATTTAAATTTACTGTATTAATATTATATTGAGAGCATTTGTTTTGCACGCTTTTCTGTTTGTAGGTAACAAACTACCAGTTTGCCCCATTTTAGGTCCTTCTGAAGACTTTAGTTATTTACTCCTTTGGATCAGTTTTATGGATGGAGAGAGCTTGGATCTGTAATAGGATTTGCAAGATAGTTTATATATTTACAAATCACAGAGCTCATCTAAAGGGTCTCTTCTTAATAAAATCATTTGATTTAAAGTGCTTGGTTTGGTGCTGTGTTTTTACTTTGTTGGAATTTGTGCTTTACTACTCTTTATTTCCAAAGTAACAGGCTCCTGTGGCTAAAGAACCATAAATCAGTAGCCCTGTGATGTAACTCCATCTTTTTTAAAAATGGGAATTCAGTCCTCTGCCAAGATACATGCTGTATTAAGTTTATTAATCCTAATTGATTTTCATGTTTTTATTCTGAAGACAGGAAGAATATCTCTTTACAATTTAGAGATTAATGGAGAATGGGATTAAATGTTTAGTTAGTATTTCACATGGAATACTATGGATTCTTTTCTTGTGCTGGGCAATCAGTGCAAGGTACTTGCAGGCATATTCTCAGTTAAACAGGTTTGCAGGCTTACAGGAAAGCTTTCATGAAACCACTGGAATTTGGTGCTTTCTTATGTAAGTTATATCATCAGTGGCCTTATTTCTCTTGAAAATATATATTTTTTTCTAACAGTATTTTTAATTCTGATTCTTGAACATATGCGTTGCAAATGTCAATAGGAAAAAGATTTTATGTAAAATATACCGTCTTCATTTAAAGTCTTGATTTGGTGATGTTTTTTAGTATCAATATTTCTGTTTCATTGCTTTGCTAGAGTTTTTAGCTCTTAAGGCTTACAGAGACATATGTTAGTTACTGCTTTAGACTGTTACTGTTCTTTTAATTGAAGCATAATGTTAGGTTCTTATGTTACCTTCTCCATGTAGCATAGTAGAAATTTTAAAATGTTCAACCATTTCCATATATTTTGTGATGCTTGTAGAATTAAAGCATGGAATGCCGCCATGGACCTGCTTAGTCCTGCTGTTGGCATGATTCAGGTGAACATAGCATTTACAACAGTGCAAAGCAGCATCAACAATGGAGTTCTGTTCTGTTTGGTTAGCTAAGCAAAAGAAAATCAGGGCTAACATCTACAGAAAAGAAATTAATTTCTACACTTGAGATTTACCTTCACCAGTGTGTCAAAAACTTGAATATTTCTATCTAATTTTGGCTGAAGATAATCAAGGGAAGACTTAACGTTAATAAAAATAAAGATTTGTAAATATCAAAGACTGATATTTTTAGGGGTATTTTCTTCTCCTTCCCACCTCTTCCCCCAACAAGTAAGGATTGTTTTCCTCAGTTTTACATTACTGAAGAGTTAAAAAGTGGTTACGCTTTTGTTTTAACACATGGACAATTTTACTTTAAATTTGCAAGTGAACTATTTTTACTATATGTTATTCTATGATTGTATAACTTATATAAAAATGAGCCAGTAGCACAGCACGGTAGTTTGGAAAATTAAATACTTTACAAGTAATGGAGAGACTCAGAATATTAACTTGAAGGCCGGTGGTGCCTCTTCCGGTATGAATATGTTGAACGTGATTCATATTTTCCTTATTTGCAGCTTGTTCAGCTGTACACTGGTGTACAACTTTTCTATTCAGATATGTTTTTTCTTTATTTTTTCCTTTCTTCTGTTTTTTATCCTTCTGTCTTAATTTCTATATTTATTACTGACATAATATTTAGATATTTATTACTAAGATAATCTCTATATCTTTTTCTTTAGTTCTGTCTGGTTTTGCTTTTGTTGGTGTACTTTTCCCAGTGCTGTTTCTCTACTTTCACTTCCCTTTCATAGTTTAATTTCCTAGTCTCATCTGTATCTATTACTATTCTCTGTCACTTTTTCTCTTCCCAGCAGGGTCTGTGTCGAATGCTCCTCATCCGGGGGCCTCATGGGTCTGTACTAGCCGAGTTATAGCTCAGGTGGTTTGAAATTAGCAAGATTCTGTGCTTCAAATTCCTCTGTAAAATTAAAGCTGCAGCACAGAGTCTTGTAAGTATGAAAATACTTTAATTCTAATATTTCAAACTGTCTGTCAATAGTAGACTGAATGTGTCCCTTTTGTTATTAATGAAGGAGAGTGTGTAAATTCAGTAACTTGAGCAAGAATATTGTAAAACCTTAGACTCTAATGGCAGCCATGAAATCTACTCCAGAGTTGTTTCAGAAGTTGTCCGAGTAGTTTTTATTTGTCATGTTGTCTTCCATAGCTTAGTAGTTCAGTTCTACACTGAAGAAACAGAAGAGGATCTGAATGGAGTCTGCTTCGTCACAGTCTGTTCCTGAATACCTGTTCCACGTTTTGTAGGAACACTCTTTAGTGAGAAAGCTAATACCAAAGTGCAGAGCGGTTGGGAGGGCATATTCTTTGAGAACACAGGAATGGGCAGCCAGAGGTAGGATGAGGGTCCATCTGGTTCAGTTTCCCATCTTGGACAATGGCCAATATTAGATATTTAGGGGAAAATAAAGTCTAACAGGGCAGTTATAATGCCAGTGTGTCCTTTTTCCCCAACGTGTGGCTTATAGGAGATAAGTGGTTAAGGAACATTTGTATGAGCAGAGTAAGACCAGTATTATCAGTCCTCTGCAGCTTGAGTGTGGTATTTGTGTGTATATGTACACACGCACAGGCGTAAAGGTGGCTCTGTGGATTGGAAGGCAAAAGCTGCCAGTAATTTCCTGAAACACTACTTCTCTGTAAACTGGTGCATACAATGCAATAACTAAAAATTATGGTTAAAATAAAATTTATAATAATAAATTGTCAGCTCAAGAAACTCCTTGTTTTCGGCTCCTGACAGCCATCTAGTTACAGAAGTCCGGAGTGCTGATTACCTGGTACCAAGGTGAACCTTCCTTAAGAGGCTGTTTGGTTGGGATTTTTTTAATGCTTCGTTACAGGTGGTTGTGGATTGAATTACAGTCTTGATAGACTTGAGTATTCATCACTGTTTGGCTTTAGCAGTGTTTTACAAGTTCCAGTTTTTGTTTTTTTTTTTAATGTATGCTCACTATTGTAGTTTCTTCACAAAAGCATTATTTTCTGTTGCAATAACCTTGAACTTGAAAAGGAGCAGGAATTAACAGATTTTCTGAGACAGTCTAAAAATTCTATCACTTTTTAATTTCTGTTAACTTCTTGCTTACTTTGATTTCTAAGATAAATTTATTAATTTAAATCAGTTTTCAGTAAGCAATTGTTAGAAACTTTTAGAATCCTTATTTCTGTCATGTGAGTTAGTTTATCTTAAAAATGCTTCTAGGTAGGTGCCTGAATAGTGAAAAATAGACATACTTGGTTGTTTGGAGTCTGTGTTGTATTTTTCAGACCCTACTACATGTTTTGTAAAATCACTTGGGTGTTTGGCTTGACCTCACAAATTTCGCATCCTGCAGGGACCAGAATTCATTAATCACACATATGATCTTGGGATAGGAAAGGCTACCATTGCAGAACCAAACTTAGAGAAAGTGAGGAGAATGGCTGGTACAGTGGCCTGACTGCCTCTTAGGAAACCTATTTTCAGGAGCCAACCTCTGGGGTCCTTCTCAGGTTAGTGGAGGATAGGAATTCAACAATGTTCTCATACTCTCCTGGGAGACTGGTGCATGCTGCACTTAATGCTCCTCCAAAAAGCGGTTGCAGATGCAGATATGTGATGTGGGCGGGACTTAGAGTTTTAAAATTGTATCTTGTGAGAAAATTGTGATTTTTCAACTCTTTGCACTTTTGGATCAGCTCTTTCTGCTGTTTACCTTTCTTCACTTTTTCTTAGGTGGGAAGGGACAGTGAGGGACAGCTGATCCTCTAAGACTGGGGACCTTCCTGTGGCAAAAAAACAATAAAAATGTGAGTCCACCAAAAAGCTATAAGGACTGTCTACAGAAATTTTAAGCTTTGGGTGACAGCTTCTTCTACACTAAAACTACCTCACATGGAAATTTTCTGTCTTGCCTTTCTTATTTCCCCCCCCCCCTTTTGCTTGTTTTTAGATGGCCAATTTGTTTATTTTATTTTTTCCCTGTCTCTTCCCCTGTCTTGCTCAGCATTGCAGCTGCAACATGTTTTGATCATTTTAAGTTTTAGGCTCTTTCTTGTTTGTTTTTTTCCAGTTATTGGTCTTGATGATATTATGGATGAAGAAGGAGTTAAAGAGAGTGGTAATGACACCGTTGATGAAGATGAGCTTGTTTTACCTAACAGAAATTTGAGGAGCCGTTGTGAAGAAGCATCAGTCACATCACCAAGAAAATCACCACGTTTAATGGCACAAGGTGATCATTCACTAGATTATGTGGTTTGGCAAATTTGAAGTCAATTGAAATTTTTATAATCCCACCCCCTAAACATTTATAAACTTAAAGCTTTGCTATTTGGTTGTGCAAATTCAAGTACAGGTACTTCCTTTTTTATAAACTGGAGCTGGAAGTTGGTATCCATAGGGTACTACTCAATTTGAATTCCTCTTTGATAAATATTTGATGTCTTCCCTATTGCCTGTGGTCCTTAAACTCATTTTTGAGACTTTGCATAAGATGAGCACTGTGGTTCTTCACCAACAACAGCATGTTGTATTTGGAAATGGCATTGGAATATTAGGTTAGCTTGGCTCTTTATTTCCAATTAAAATTTTAATTCTATTTATTTTTATGTGTGTATTTTATTTTTGTTTTAAATTAAGTTATAGTAGTTGCAGTCGTAAAGTACTTCATCAAAATATCTCAATATGCTTAATAAGTATTTTAATCAAATATTTAAGTTCTGTGTGGTAGCTAATTGATCATGGTTGGGTTTTTCTAACTTGCTAAACTGTTGGAATTATTGACAGCACTGCTTTTTACCCCTAGAGAACAGGCTGAGTTAAAAAGATAAAATTACTTAATAGGGAAGTCAGAATTTAAATAAGAGCCTGTGGTACAAAGCTAGTGAATATGCTTTTTAAAAAAGGCACTGGAATGGTTTCTTGTTTAGAAAATGTAAGAGATGTCATCAAGTGAGGATGTGACTGGATCTCAGATTGATATACTATATTCTCTGAAAGGTTTGTGAATTTCACAGTTATACTTCTAATCACAATATAACTCACTTGTGTAATTTTTACTTGAGATAGAAAAAGTTGAGTGGTAGAAAGGCAGAGTGGGTTTTGATTGTCTTTTTATCATCACTTCTGTTTTATATATACTATTCAGAACTTTCATAGCCATTGAAAAAATGAGATTTTACATCCAAACTGCGGCAGTGTAAAATTGAAATGCAAGTAATTGATAACTTTTTAGAGTAGACAGCAGCGGTGTTTGGGTATTTTTTTTTTTTTTTAAGTTTAGTAAGTTTTAAGTTCTCTTTGTGCCACTAAGCTAGATCAGTTCTATTCTAGGTAAGTCTTGTGTTTGCTAAGAGGAGGACGCAGTATAACTAAGACATTTTCTTTTTCCCTGTCTAGAACCAGTACGGAGTTTGCGACAGAGCACGCTAGCCAAGCGTTCGAATGTTGCACCTATTGTTAGTACCAAGAAATCATCTGTAAAAAGTGGATCTGCTCCAAAAACTGGACAGAAACAAGAGAGAAGTCCAGCTAAAGAGACAGATGTTGCTGCACCCTTGAAAATAGAACAGCCTAAAGAAGTTAGGCGTAGTACAAGACGATCAGGACAGACAGAAGGAACGGCAGCTGCGGTAACAGCATCCCAAAGTAATACAAAATGTCTTCCTGATCCCGAAGAGGTGAATGAAATAAAGTCAGAAACCCTTGAGCAGGCAAAAGTTGAGGAAACATCCCAAGAGTTAAGTTGTGCTAATTTAGCAGAAGCCACCTCTTCTCCTGGAGAAACTAAGGAGGTAACAGAGGTTGCAACAAAGACTGAATCTGGGAATGTTGAGTCATTTTGCTCAGTATCTGCAGATACTGCAATTACTGCAGTTAAAAATGAAGCAAATGATATGATTGATTCAATGGATTCTGAAACTTCTTCAGAAGAAAAGACTGAAAACAAAACAGAGGAATTGGAGAAGCAAACAGAAGAGCATGATCAAATTGGGGTAACTGGAAAACCTAATGATCCATCTAGTGTTTGTGTGAATCCAAGTGAAATTTGTGAGACCTTTTCAAATTTGTCCAGCTCTATAGAAGAGGGGGTTGATTGTAGTTTAGTTTCCCACAATGTGGAAGCTCCTGATGAAAATACATTGTCAGTAAAGGAATGTGTAACAGAACCTGTAGATGATGACAACGGAGTGGAGAAAACTGTAGCTTCATCTGAGAAACTATTGGACAGTACAGAGTTTGATAATAAAGACTTGAGAAGCGAAGAGTTTACTTTTGGTGACCCAGGAAATAGCATTTTAGAAAGCACTGTTCTTGACCAAACAAGCCAAAATGTACAGCAGATCAGCAGAACTAAAGTAGAAGGCCTTGAGGCATCGAAATTTCAGGATGATGATAAACAAATTAGCACTTCATCAAAATGTGACAAGAACACTAGGCCCCGACACAGTAAATCTGGAATACAGAATAAGCAAAATCTGACTCCAGATACTCGACAGAAATCAGGTACGGTGCAACAAGAAGTAGCGCGTTCAAGAACAAGAGCTGGTCTTACTGTTTCAGGTCTTCATAGTGCATCTTCAGCAAGTCTGAAACGGAATGCAGATGAGCAAGAGAGTAATCAGCATCCGAATAACCCAGTTAAAATTAGGAAGAAACAGTCTGATCTGGGTTTGAAAGCAAAGAGCTGTGTTTCAGGGGTGACAGTAAAAAAGCAGACCAATACAATGCTGAAGAAAGTACCCCGAGTCCAGGCTTCTGGGCAAGTACAGAAGTCATCAATTCAAAGAGCAAGTGAGAAGTCTCCTACTCATCAAAGTACCCACCACTCCGTGCACCTGTTATCAGGGCATGTTTCAAATCTTGGCCAGAAGCAAGCCCAGGGTCAGAAACACCAGCTTGCAACTGTGCTAAAAACAAATAGCTCCACAAAGGAAGAAGCAGAGACAAAAGATCCCCTGATAGTAGAACATCTGAAGGAAGATGATAAAGAAAAATACAAATCAAAAAGAATTGATAAGAATCTCCAGCCTCGCCAGAGAAGAAGTAGCAAAAGTCTTTCACTCGATGAACCTCCGTTGTTCATTCCAGATAACATTTCAACTGTTAAGCGGGAAGGCTTGGAGCATACCTCTGCTAGTGAAAGCAAATATGTCTGGGTGCCCAACAAGCAGTGTGGCTTTTGCAAAAAGCCACATGGCAACAGGTGTGTGTGGCTTTGTGTCTGAGGAATTTATTATTGGTCTCGGAAGATAATTTTTTTATTTTTCTTCCTGTCTTAGCAAATGTTACTGCTGGTGCCAAAACAAAAAGACATAGGAAGCTTGTGTGTTACATTGCCAGTTAGTGTCCTTTTCACTCAATATACTTTTTAAAAAATCTTTTCTATAGACCATTGAAAAGTAGTTTGGCTGAAAATTTTTACTACAAAGGTTTTATTATAGGAATAATTTTTTTTGAGGAATGTGTAATTCTGCTCTGCTGTTAAAATATGTGCTTTAAACTTGACTTTTTTTTCATAGAAAAGAAGGAAGACTAAGATGTGTCTGTTCCAAATTGTCATTTCCTTCTTTCCAGAGACCTCTTAAGTGGAAGGATCACCATCAACCAAAACAATGAAATAGTTGTTTGGATGTGACTTTTATCTGGTAGAAGTGTGATTCTAATACCAAAGAGATTTAGATTTTTTTTCAATTTGTATAATCATTGCTGTGAGGCTTTCTTGTAACAGGAGTAATGAAGGGGAGGGGGTGGATGGGGAGCAGAGAACTCCCATGTGGGCATATCTGAAATTGCCTTTAACTAAACCCAGTAATGAGGTTGCATCTGAAGTTGATAACGTCCCTCTGTGACAAAAGTTACTCTTCTGCACTGTAGGTGAGCTGAAAAAGGCCGTTGGGTTCCACTAAAAAACTGTCAATCCAAGAATAAGAATTCCTTTGTAACCACTTCTTATTTTCTCCATTTAGTATTGAAGTATTTTTTCATAGTTGCAGTTTTACTTGCCAGCCTTTTTTTTTCTTTTTTCTTAAAATTCATTTCAAATTGAAGATGTTTCTGATTAGTCCTCTGCTTACGTGAGAGAAACTATTAATAGTAATTTTCAGTGAGTGTCCTATAGAACTCAAAGTCAGAGTGAAACATGGAACATTACCTTTGGTATCTGAGGTTTTTGTAGCATTCATTTGTATATAAGAAGAGCCCTTGGGAATTTTATTGGCTTGTTATATAATGTTTGAAAAACAAATAGATAAAAACCATTAACTGCAGCTATAGTAACTGCATCAGTGGCCTATTAAAAGAATTAATGCTAGGTTTGCTCTGCTTGCTTCGTGAAAATTACCTGATTGAAGGGACACTCAAACTTAGTTCATTGTGGGGCGGTTTGGTGGTGTGTTTTTTTTTTTAAATTTTAGAATCATTTTATTGTTAGGACTATCTCTACCATTTATGCCTCTATTATAGTGTTTATTTTTATGCAGTTTGTGTTTCCTTAGTTTTTATCATCTCATGTCTTGCTACAATGATAGAAGTACCTGGGTAGCCTGTATTTCAACTAATTCTTTAAATTCAGAAAGACTGTTTCATGAAAATGTTTCTGTGGATGTTTTTAAAGCAAAATATGTGTATTTGGAGTTTAAACTGCTTATTATCTGTTTAAAAAATCAGCTTTGAGTTGAACTCTTCCTGTTTTCTTTGCTAACATTTGCTAACATTTTAAACATTCTGTGGTTTTTTTTTTTATTCTGAATGTCTTGTTAGAGTTCAGAAAGTCTCAATTTTGAATACTAAATGGATCTAACCAATACTAGGAAGATAACAGCAGTGAGAGCTAAATCTGCTTATTTTAGTTTATAAAGTCAAAGTAATGCTACAGAAGATACACGTGCTATGCATTGATAGAGGATTAAATGCAACAAACCAATTTTGCATTGCCAGCTCTTACTGCTGCTAGAAAAATAGTATAATGTATATATATAAACCCTGAATTTCTGTATCTAAAATGTCACTAAGACACACGAGTGGAGGGAGGAAGCTTGCAGTGTTGAGCCCCATGCTTAATAATAGAAGACTTAAGACTGTCAGTCCAGCACTTTTTATCATCACTGTTCTAAAAAATGAAGTTTTAATTTCTTCAAATTACTTTTATTTCGTAGTTGTATGCTGCAAATAACTCTTATAGCTTTCAGAGCACTTGATGTCACTAAGATACGAGAGGAAGCAAAACTGGTATCTCGAGTGCCTTGGTGTTTTTGTACTTGTGTAGTTACTGGTGCAAGGACAAGAAAATGATTTCAATACAGTGGGGAAAAAAAAGCTTAATGTGATAAATGTCACTTTTATCACCTGGAAAAACATCAAAACTATTGAAATTGACTATAGTGGTAAGGTTTTTTTCATTCACTTTGTGGATTGCTTTTCACGGAATTTTTGTTTCCCTTCTGTAATAGCCTAGCTGGCCAACCTATTTCCTTTTTTTCCTCTGTTCATGGTATAGGAGAAAAAGAGAAAGTGAGACACACAAACATTGTCAAATGACAGTAAGTTTAACAAATGTCAAAGGCAGAGCTAACATCTGAAACAATATTTGTGTTTATATCCTGCTTTATGACTATTTAAACTTTGAAAATTTTTATCAATGCTATGGTACAGATTACTTGTAGAAAAAGAAGTTGAACTGAGGTTGCAGCCCTGAGTTGGGAAATAATGTGCATAAGAGCTTTGCAGTATGTCATGTTAATGAAGCACGTTTACAATTCTCGCTCAAAACAGTTACTTTTCCCTACAATAAACGTGAAGCTACTAACATTGTTAATGTAATACTAAGCTTGGAAAATTGTTTCAGGTCGAAGATAATGTGTGGAGATCGTTTCATCAGCCTTGTTTGTGTACAGAATTCCCAAAGGGCAATGCTTACGTAGGTCTTTCACAGCCCCAGAGTAATCTTACCGTGCCTACTAGAACAGCAGAAGAAGGATGGTACTTGTGCGTTGTTTAATTTCAGAATCAGCACCTGACAAATGAAGTCAATTTGTATCTTTAGGAATACACACAGTAATTTGCTGACCACATTTAAAGTCAAAGCACGCTTGCCTTGCACTGCAAATACAACACCTGGCTGGGAAAGGAGGAATCCTTTTTTAAGAACTTGTGACTTGCATGATCAAAAAAGCTAACAAGTTATAGCCTGTCTTGTTTCTTTCTGTTAATAGATTGCCATTCTTTGGCACCTGAGCTTTGAACAGTGACTATTCGTGCTGTTTTCTACTTGTCTTGGTGCTTATAAACTGGAACCAACAGGGTGGTTTTGTATTTTATATCTGCATTACCCAGAGAGTTGGATGATCAATGTTTGGCTTCAGGACTAATTGTTACAGTTGGTTTGCTTGATGTATGGTGTTGATTTTCATTCAGAGATTTACCTTTGCAACATTACTAAAAAATAATTGCTCTTTCATATGTAAACTAAACTCTATGTTTCTGGACAAGTCAGATAATTGCAATGTAATTTTTTGTACTTAGTGATTTTCAGCACCTCTGAAACAGGTGTAGGGTTTTTTTTTCAGTGCAAAGTTTGAATTGTTGTTGCTTTTAGTATTGCATTTGACTTTGCTATTGTATTCTCATTGCTGTCAGATGTTTTCTCATCAGCTAACAACATACATGATGCATGTAAATTTTCATTCACGTATAAATGAAATGTGTGTACGGATGTGCGTATCACACAAAAATGTTACAGACTGAAGTTACTGCTTCAACTTCTTAATGAGTTCAAGTGATCTTGAAAATATTAGGCTTTGTCACAAACAATAGTTATTCTTCCTGAAGACAGATCAAAGATCTTTAAAGATAGTTGAAGAAAAAAAATAATATTTAATTTCTTGGCATAGAGCCAGGTGAATACGGTAGCTCTGCAGACATTGAGAAATCTGCCACAGTAGGATTTTTTTTTCTTGTATGTGTCATGCATTCTTCTGATGTAAAGGCTCATTTATAAATTTCTCTAGTTTTCACTGTAGATGTTCAAGCTCTCTGCGGGCTGGACAGGCTGAGAGAGTTGGGGCTGTTCAGCCTGGAGAAGAGAAGGCTCCAGGGTGATCTTGTAGCAGCTTTCCAGTACCTAAAGGGGGCCTACAAGAAAGATGGAGAGGGACTTTTTACAAGGGTGTGTAGTGATAGGACAAGGGGCAATGGATTTAAACTGAAAGAGGGCAGATTTCGATTAGATATAAGGAAAAAATTCTTCACTATGAGGGTGGTGAGGCAGTGGAACAGGTTGCTCAGAGAAGTTGTGGATGCCCCATCCCTGGAAGTGTTCAAGGCCAGGTTGGATGAGGCTTTGGGCAACTTGGTGCAGTGGAGGATTTCTCTGCCCATGGCAGGGGGGTTGGAACTAGATGATCTTTGATGTCCCTTCCAACCCTAACAATTCTATGATTCTAACTCATTCTGTTCTTGTACAGATAGACAAAACCTAACTGGTGTTTTGCAGATTGTCTCCCATGTCTTCACACTGTCTTCTTTAACAGAAGAAGTTCCACCAGCTTCTGATTAATGATTCATAGTACATAACTTGACATACTCTGTTTATAAGCAAATTTTCTAGAAAGCATTATCTCACGAGGGAAGTTTGTAGCTTTAATTTGTTGCTGGCGACTTCATCTTTTGATTTCTACAGTTCTAGTAAGGGTTTTTTAATAGGCTGTGGGAGTTTGGGTGTTCTCTTTTGTTGTTTTGAGGGTTTTTTGGCTGTTTGTTTTGTTTTGTTGTTGCTTGGGATACGGTCATGCAGTTTGTGTGTTCAGACGCACACTGGCCTTCTCAGAGCTCACAGAAAAATTAAGCAATGCAGAACCAGATTTTCACTTAGGGTCTTCTTTTTCCCTATGTTTCAATTCTGCTTTAACATAGAGAAAAAGTTAGTAATATTGTAAAAGACAATTAATTGGAAAGTGCAGGAGTTGGTTTAGCAAAGATAGAGTATTCCTGATCTCTTGTATACATGTAGTCACTAAAAAGTTTCTGCACAACTGTAATGCAGAAAATTACTTTGGCTGATGGATAAAGTTAAAAAAATAATCTGAAAACTGTTTTTTCCTGTAGTAAAGGTTGTTAGTAGGACATGTGTTTTTTGAAAATAGTGCTAATACTTCAGTAAGCTATTTTGGAACCAGGTGATTGTATAATTTGCACAGCCAATACAAA